ATTTTGCAAAAATATTTTTAGAGCCTGCTCTTGAATATAGGCAAGACTTCATCCTAGGAAAGCTTTAAAGAATGACAAGACAAGGGACCTAAAACTTTGAGGAAATGCTGATGTAAGGAAGAAAGAGCTTCAGACATGGAAAGTGATGGCAAAGCATCCAGTGAGAAGAAAGCAGGATCCAAGCTCGTCGCCATTTCTCTTTTAGATGAAACTGTCTCTTGCATTTCACCAAGATAAACACTGTATATTTTCAGTTATCTGTTGTTGACAATATTTTTCCAATTCTTAATTAAAGCAGAGTGGAAATTAAAAGATATGGGATCTGGTACAAGGTTTGTTTCACTTGGTCAAAGCAGAGAAGTCAACTCCTACGTTTTTCCTCTCTAAAAGTGATGCCTTTAAGCACAATGGTGCCAAGGTGATTTGTTTTTAAATGATCAAAAGGAAATGTAGCCAAAAAGGAAGTCATTTTGAAATGCATAGTAAGCTACTGTGCTATAGCATAACTGGGCAGCATTCTGAGAACACAGAGAGTTTCAGTCTCTTATGTCAGTTTGCTTCAGATTTAACTGAGTTTCAACATTCAAGATGCTGAAGTAAGTGTGTCTGATGTATAAATGACTAATTTTGAGTGTGGGAAGAGAAAAGAGTTTTCTTATTGGTGACTGTTTTCTTCTTTGGGTTTAATTTTACCACAAAATGCTGGTATTTTATAGTATGTTAAATTTTCTTCCTAATGTTGTGAAAAAGACCAAAGACAGAGTCAGATACGTATGCAAAAGGAAGCAAAAAGAAGGGTCAGTAAAAAAAGATAAATTTGAAATGTGGTCATTCGCACATGAATAATGCTATAAGTTCAGGATGTTAGAAGCAACATAAATAAATGGGGAGGACCAGCCTACATTTTCCAGACTATGTGGGCACAGTTACAAAAAAGTGAATTATCAGAATTTTGATACTTTTTTTTTCAGAAACTATTGTCTTGGGAATTCCGTACTCTTAACCACACACATGGACTCAGAAGGAAGCTTCTAGTATCCTGTAAATTTGGTGACAGATTTCTGAAGCATTGCACTCAGAGTTGGGCGTGGGATGCAGAGATGAAGATGTCCTGAAAAAGAAAATCCATGAAGTTTCGTGAACCTAACCCTCAGCTACCCGTCCCACAGAGAAGAGAAGCAAAGACTTTGCTATACAGAAGACATTAAAACAAACACATGTATTTCCCCGATAAGCATTGTACTCAAAGAGAAAAGAGTGGGACAGCCTGAAAATCTCCACACAAACTGGTCTTTTTGATGAAAACATATTTTTTTCTCCTCATCTCTATAAGACAGTGCACAAAGTGCTCATTTATATTTTCTTTGTTTTCATCCCAAAGCTAGAAGATCAAAGAGTTAATAAAACCCCCATGCCTTCGAAGGTCATTACAAAACTAAATGCAGCAATTCAAAGTAGAAAATAGAATGAATGCCAAGGAGATGTTTAACGAAGTGCCATTCTAGACATATTCTTTGAAGAACATTTGCAGACTCATTTGATTGCCTTAGAGTGCACAGGAAGAGTGAGCCTGCGTAGAGCTAACACTGACAGATGGTTGTGTTCTGCAGAACAACACACCAGTAGGAATCGAGTATATTTGATACAGAATTACCTAATGTTACTGAAAATAGGAGGGCTTCGTATAGTAAAATGCTATTTAAAACTTCCATATCTTTTCCCCCTTGGGCCTAATTAAATTTCCCAATATGGGACATGAGTCTATTCACCTGAAAACAATTTGAATCGCTATCTTTCCCCAAACAGACAAGTTGGATGGCAGACGAAGGATTATTGGAATGCCTCTGTTGAGCCACTTCATTTTTTTTTCTTTTGACTCCTCTTTAGTGCTCACATTTTTAGGCATGGGAGCAAATGCAGAATGTGGAGTGACAGCCTTAGACATTGTGGATCCTATAATGTCAATATAGTTAAAACAGACAGGCTAAGACACGGACGCCAATTCCTTTTTTAAATATTTTCTTTATTATTTTTATTTTATGTGTATGAGTGTATTGCCTGTATGTATACACGTGCACCCATGATGTACAATGCCTACGGAGGTCAGAAGAGGGTGTCGGATCCCCTGGAGCTGGAGTTACGGATGGATGTTGTTATGTGGATGCTAGAAACTGAACCAGGGTCCTTAATAAGAGCAGCCAGTGCTCTTAACCGCTGAACCATGTCTCCAGCCCTGAACTCCAATTTCAATGTGACATATCACAGTCTGCTGTGCTCTATCATAATTTCAATGTTTATGTCTCCCGTCCCACACAAATGTTGAAACATTTGAATAGGCAATAGAGATTTTAAGAGGTGAGTGGGTCATGAGGACAAAGAACCCATGGATGGGGTTAGTGTCCTTGTAAAAGTTTGTTGGAACTTCTGTCATGTGAAGGCAACTTATATGGCACTTTCCGAACCAAGAAGAAGGCCCTCATCAGCCATCAATCTGCTACTACCCTGATCTTAGACTTCCTAACCCTGGAACTATAAGTAATGAATTTCTGTTATGTATATATTAATCAGTGTCAGGTATTTTGTTATAGCAATTAGAATAGACTAAGATACTACAGATCTGGGAACTCAGCATTAAAACCCACTAAGCAGATTTCTTCCTCAGAAAGGAGCAGCAGGTCAACCTGGAGCATCAGAACTGCCCATCATGCTGGTAGACGCATGGCTGCATGGGAAGTAATGTAAAGATTTGGGTGACTAGAGATTGCCTTGATGTTTAAATACAAGGACTTATTCCAGGGTGCTTTGAAGACAGACTGTACTACTGGCATAGCTAGATGTTCAGATAATGATTTTCAAAAGATTATAATACAATATAATAACAGCATTACTATTTAAAAATAGCTAAAGTAAGCTTAAGCGCTTTTTAATCATTTGGGGGCAAACAATTGACCTACTTCACTGTAAAATGAATGTTTTGAAGTTCCGTTGAAAGTTGTGCTGATGCAGGTAAAAGGTCTTTTTCCCTTCTTGCATCAATGGTGCATGTCACCTTCCTGCAAGACCACCAGTTTGCAGATCTGGCCAGAGGGAAAATTACTGGACAACAAAATGAAAGGGGGCATAAGTCAGCTTAGAGCTCTGAGCCCTAGGAAAGGAAACATCCCCCTGCTCATGAAAGGGCAATTGTACTCAGTACCACTTATCCAGTGCCAACAATCTGGCAAGTCTTCTATTCAGTGTTATACTAGGGCTACGGCAAGGTGACCCCGCGATGGGGTCGAGGTCAGGGAAAGGTCACTGCTTGAAAAATGAAACTAGTCAAAAGGAAAGAATCTTAGGAATGGGTGAGGCTAGCCACCCACAAAGTAACCTAATCTAGAAGATAACATTGAAGAACATTTAAAAATGGAATCCTATTGGCTATCACAAACTGGGGTTAGGAGGCTTTGAAACTTAGTCCCAGGATCAGGATTTTGTCATTAACTTTCCAGTGAATTCTCTCTATTCCTTTTCTTCTACTTTTAAGCTTCTTCTGTTACCTCTCCTCTTTCTCTCTATCCACTACCACCCCCAAATTCAAAAATGAACACAGTTCTGTCATACTAAGGGAAACCTGTGTTAAACTGAGGAAACCATCTTTTTCCTCCTCAACATCTCCCAGTGGCTCCCTCAAAAGTGGCATGTGAGGCACATGCCTATGCGATGATGTCTGCTCATCATGTATGCCCCAGTGATCATTTTAAAGAAGTCCTTTAAGCGGACTGGAGAGATGGCTCAGTGGTTAAGAGCGCTGACTTCTCTTACAGAAGAACTGGGTTTGATTCTCAGCATCCACATGGTGGCTAACAACTGTTCATAACATCCATTCCAGGGGATCCAACACCCTCTTCTGACCTCCATGGGCATTGCATGGCACAGGTGCACTTAGATACATGCAGGCAATACATGCATACACATAAAATAAAAATAATAAATTAAAATACTTTTTAAAAAGAAGTCTTGAAGGCTAAGGGAATCTTAATGATTGGACTATTTATTTGCTCCCTCTTATCTCATGAGACATACACAGATGCTTATATCACAGGTGCTTGCTTTGAAGAGAGACAGCAGGTGAAAGGAATATGGGTTCATGGTTAACTTATTTTCACCTTCCAAAAAAATACTGAAAGGTATTTCATTCCCTCAAAGCCCAAATGAAAACATTTCATAAATAAAATAATCACTTTAGAGATATGAAAAGACTAGGTATAGATTAAAGAAGAATTTCACCTTAAAGATGTCACCAAATGCTGCTAATGTGCAAGTAAAATGTTTACTAGTTGTCTGACTTCAAAATTCTAAAGTCAAAAAATAAAAGTATTCATTTACCTTTTTAAAAAATGTGTAGAAAGATGGAGGCTTTTCAACTTTTTGTTTAATATTTGTTGCCAAGAATTCATGCAAGAAAGTCAATTTTACATAAAATATTTTTGTAAAACTACTTTCAAGAGATGAAATTTCCATAGATCACTTTCAGTAGGTCCTATAAGTCTTTTAATATGAGCTCCTTAGTTTTATTAGTGCATTATAAATTATTTATCTTGCAAAAATACATTAAAAACAGAATTAGAATGTCTTTGGTTTATATAATTCACAGCATTAAGTTAAAAATAGTATAATGTGTGCTATTCAGAAAGAAATATAAACATGGCCTGAAAGAACATTTTTGAGTCAGTTTCACATTAAACATTGAATAGAAAAGCTGACTTATTTAAAATAAAGCAAGTCACTGCATCAGTCTGCTACTTGCAAACATTTCTTTGTAAATAAGGATGAGCTGACAATGCTTGGAAGTATAGTTCATCAAAATCACAACAAGAAACTAAATATTATGAACATGTAAAATCCATGTTTATTTAATATCCATTACATAGCTGGTTCATTGAAACCAGACCTTGTGAAGACAAATAACATTTCTGATGAACATAAACAATTTCATACAGTTGAAACGCATCCTGTGTTTTCACATGAATAAAGATATCATTATGCAAGAGTTTCAGCAATAAAGACCTTGCCTTCAATTGGCATGGCATCACTCAGTGCTTCAAGGCAGCCCAGGCCTTCATCGAGCTCTGGAGGAGACATTAACAACACTGCATGGAGGAGCTCAGTGATCAGGGAGTCTACCCTCAGCTGCTGCAAGCCTTCCCCCAGGATCTGTGGTAGCCTCCGATGTGGTCAGTGTTGTGGGCACCTCTTCAAAGGACATATCCAGAGCTCCAGATGGGCATTGCTAGAACAAACATTTTTGAGAAGTTATAGGAAATGTGCAAATAACATAGACAGGATCACTCTAGTCAGGGAGTATTATGCTTAGTCATAATATTAATGCTTATTTACTTTTAGAATTGCTTATGTGTGAGGCATTGTGTTACGTACACTCACTAGCTCATAAAACGAACAGAAGAGCCAAATAAAATAAGTGCTATAATTATCCTACTCCAGAGGCAGGAAAAGTGAATGCAGTCTCACAGGCAGCAAGTGACAGAAGCAGGTGGCCCTTTGTGTCATAAACCGGTCCCAGAGGGCCAGAGTAGTCCTAGGTCCATCACGGTGGATAAGCTGATAGCATCCTCAAAGTCATTTACAGCTTCTTTCTCTCCTGCTCTTCTCTTTTATAGAGACTGGGAAAATTAAATTCTCAACATTCTTTGTTAGGATTTGTTTTCTTTTAATTTTTGGATTTCAAACCGTAGTTCTATAGTCTTGGCTCCTGGGAGTGGCAATATGATACCTCCTGATTAGTAAGATGTGTTACAAGAATTTTGTTTTTCTTTTTATATTTTATATTTTGTGTATTGCCAACATGTATGTCAGTGTGCCTGCAGAGCTCAGAAGAGGACATCAGTTCCCCTGAAACTGGAGTTATGGACAATTCTTAGCCACCACATGGGTGCTAGGGAATCGAACCAAGGTCTTCTGCAAGAGCAGCCAGTGCTCTTAACTGTTGAGCCAACTCTCCAGCCCCTTAGCTTTTGAGACAAGGTCTCACTGTAGTCCCAGCTTCCCTGGAACTTACTATGTAGACCAGGCTGGCCTCAATCTCAGAGATATTTGCCTGCCTCCACCTCCCGAGTGCTAGGATTAAGAGTGTAACAACATATCTTAAAATGAAGTGGAGATCTTCTTTAAAGGGTAAAAACTCATCCAATTTTATGTCCTACAGGGCTTTTACTGAGTTCATTATTGTATGACTGTATTAATTCAACTGTGAACCTAAAAATTTACAGCCACCTTTGAAACAGATGTATCCTTGCTCTGGAATGTGTTAAAGCTGTAATGAAATGCTTCTTAAAAAAAAAACTTGAAAATAAAATTTGAAAATAAAAAAAAGAGTGTGTCAGACCATATTTTTTTAAAAAGAGATAGACTTGTTCATGGTGGTTCATGTTTGTTATCCTAGCACTCAGGAGGTGGAGGCAGGAGGATACCCTGGGTTACATATACATCATGACTTACAGGCCAGCCTGCACTAGAGTGAGACCTGATTTTAAAACAAACAAGCAAACAAACAAACAAACAATAATCGAACAATGATGAAACCTGAAATAAAGGAGAAGTTATGATCTCTTTACCCTTCTTACCTATTCTTTTCAAGATTATTTATCCTCATGTGGCTTTTTTTGTTTGTTTGTTCTTTGTTTTATTTTTGAGACAGGGTCTCACTATGTAGCCCTGGCTGGCATGGAACTCACTAGTAGACCAGACTGACCTCAAACTCACAGAGATCCACCTGCCTCTGGCTCTTGATGCTGGTTTTAAAGGTATGTGTGACCACACCTTGCTTTCCTCACATTTTGTTTTAGATTTGAAGTGCAGGATTTAATGAGAAAATTCTTTGTGAAGTACCATTTACTAAAAACACAAAGAAGAAAATCTAAACACATATCTACTAGTTTAAAATCTTTTCAAAGCAAAGTCCATATGTGTGTGTGTGTGTGTGTGTGTGTGTGTGTGTAATTTATTCTAAATATTTAAGGAACTGACAACACCAATCTTACACAATTTATTCAGCTCTTCCTTGAGCTTCAGAGGGGGTGATAGTGATGTCTGATTTAGGACTGAGCACACAATGGTTATTTATTCTGAGCACTTCAACCAGTTGAGTCTCTTCATTAAGCACCTCCCACTGCAAACGAAACTTCTCTGACCAAGGCTGGGAACAGCAATAATCTGATTGTTGGCTCTGTCTGGACTTTCTCCAGTTCCTTCTCACCCTTGGGAGGTTCTCTGTGATGATTTATGAGACATCATTTTAGATAAGATGATTTTCTTTCATTTGGAATACTTGTAAAGGTGTTTTAAGGTTTTTAAGGTGACACCACTCAGGAATGCCAGTGATGCACGAGCAGCAATAGAAACATAGGAATTATTAGAATGAGGATTTCACCTTCCAAGGTAGTTATTTGACCTGTAATTTGTATTCATAAAATAGCTACCTTTCTGAGAACTTTTGTCACTTAAAGATACATAATAAAGCTTATTTAGACCTGTGTCCCAGTAATAAGAGAATAGTCATGAGACTGGAGAGAAAGCAAGAATTTGTGTTTGTGTGCCTTTATGTGCACACATTGTGTGTGTGCTCACACTTCTTGATTCACTAAAAATACCTTCTTTTCTCAGGCATGTTAATTTGATTTTCTGCTACTTGTAGCACTGTAATACTTATCTGAAACACTTTATAAATTTTTGTGACTAGGGAATATTAGTAATAATATTTAATTAAAAGGCTAAGTGAATTATAGATATTAATTGTGGCATACTATATTTTTAAATTTTCTATTTTTGTTGTATTGTCCTTTTCATTTAGTTCCAGGAATACTTTTCTTTCTTTCTTAATTTCTCCTTTGACCCATTCATCATTCAGGAGTGTGTTGTTTAATTTCCATGTGTTCATGTAATTACTAGGGTTTCTTCCAGTGTTGACTTTAAACTTTATTGCATTGTGGTCTGATAGAATGCATGGAATTATTTCAATATTTTTGTATTTGTTGAGGTTTGTTTTGTGCCCCAGTATATGGCCTGTTTTGGAGACGGTTCCATGGGGCCTTCAC